TGGTTGTTCGAGCTCCTGGACCAATGACATCATCGTGTGGGGAAGAGCGGTGGTGCGCTTCCTTAAGGAGCACGGCGTCGCTCTTCATATCTTCAAGAGGGAGAGCACGTAGATGGGTCTTATTTATCTATGCGAGACACGTTTCGCATTCGTGTTCTCGATGATGGAGTGTTTGTTTGCAGTGAGGTCGGCATTGGAGAGGACGGTGGACAGCGATAGTTGGGGTATGGTCCCTTGGGACCGTTCCGTTCATCACTTGGCTAGGTGGGTCAGGTGGCAGGTGCGACATGGCCCTTGGTGGGATTCCATGACCATCCTGTTCCATATTATGGAGCCTGTGTATGACCTGCTGTGCAGGTTGGACCGTGGAGGGCTGCACATATCGCGGGTTGTTCAATGGACGCAAGATGTGACCCAAGAGGTGGCACAGGAGGTTTGCGTACTTCCGTCGGATTCTGCACACTTCATTGTGCAGAAGGTGCAGGCTCGGTGCGCTCACATGTTGGAGCCGGCACACACCGCTGCTCACCTTCTCTGTCCTAGCCGGCGGGACTTGAGGTACTATGAGGGCGTAGTCAGCGACTACGACATGAGTTCAGTGAGGGAGGTGGAGGTTGACATCTTGTCGCAGACAAAGTTCGATGTGGCGAGCCCCGAGTACGAGACCTCATGTGCGCAGTTGTGCGGCTTTCACACACGGAGGGGGAGCATTGCGTGGAGGGGGAGGGACGGAAATAGAGAGGCACAGAGGTGCACCGGCGATGTGGAGATGTACGAGGCTGGGTGTTGGTGGTCGAAGTGGGAACAGTGCACTCCGCAGTTGCAGGTTATCGCTCTTCGTGTTATGTACATGTGTACGAGCTCCTCTTCTGTGGAGAGGAATTGGGTCGTCCACGAGGGTGTACAGACGAAGAAGCGTAAGCAGCTTGAGTTTGACAGGGTTGCGAAGTTGATTGAGATCTCAGCCAACGTCCGCCTTCTCTCTCATCAGCGGGCAGGCCGTGGGTTTGTGTTGCCGTGGACTCTAGATGAGTCCTTGTTGGACGTGGAGGCAGGCATTGGGACTCGCTCCTCGTGGAAGGGGACGGACGACAGGAGGACGCAGGATGAGCTAGAGTGTCAGAGCCGTTCGTGGCAGCGAGACCCGTGTGGGTCGAGAGCTCCTCCGGGTGAGGTTGCAGATGTTTTTGGGACTCGAGCTGCTACATTGTGCCCGTACCCTAGAGATGACGACAGCGATTACGAGGGTCGGGAGCAGGAGGACGAGCGGGCGGGCCCCACTGCTGCTACTCCTGCCGCACAGGAGGCTGATGAGTGGAGCGACCCGGAGGACGTCCCTAGACGGAGTGGCGGGGATGACTTCTTCGGTGGAGTTGATTTGGAGGGCGAGATGGGTTTAGGGGGTCGTTATGGGAGCCCTGTTGAGCGGCAGAGGCCTGGGTCACCTGGCCTACGGTCTGCTGAGCGAAAGGGAGTGCATGGATCTGCACCTTCGAGGGGGGCAGAGTCGGGTTGTGGTGGCCCTGTCCCTAGCCAGCGACTGCGTAGATTGGTGAAGGGCCCTAGACAACGATTAGAGGAGAGATTAGCGGGCGGTCCTTCACCGGTCCAGGGGATGAAAGAGATAGAAAGGGGTCGACTGGTGGAGATGGTGGTGCGTTTGCGGCAGGCGGAGGCGGTGCCGAGGTTGTTGTGGCGGTTGGCGGGGACGCGCTTGGGGATGTTGGTGAGGAGGGGATGCCGGCGGGTGGCGGAGGAGGTTTCAGTGTGTTCAGTGACTTGGGTATGCCCCATGGAGAGAGCGAGACCCAGGGGGACATCAGTGTCGGCCTGCAGGCCATATTGGGACAGATCAGAGCCCTTCACCCGGAGTCTTTCTCCCCTGCCATGCGTGCGGAGTTGATGACGTCACCACCGGAGGCAGAGGGAGATGAGGACCGCACACCCCCTGGAGAGACATTTGCAGAGAGGCTGGATAGGCTTGATAGTCGTCGAGCTTGCCTCATGGCACGAGGGGACCCCAGGACGCAGGAGTTGGCCCGTCTTGTGGTTGAGAAGCGACATAGAGAGTTCGGGACATTCACGCCGACGTCCCTTGACGTAGAGACAGTTGTCCACATGTGTCCTCCGATAGGGGATCGCGATGGGACGCGGGGGGAGGCAGCTTTAGCCGATGCGTCGAGGATGGGAGGTGGTCCACATGCGTTTTTTTTCCTCTTTTTAAAAAGTTGAGTAGGTGACCTTCATCGCTACGAAAATCGGTGTTGCCGAGCGTTCAATGAACGCGCGTTTCGCGTTCATGTTTTGAACACGTTGAACGCGCGTCGCGCGTTCATTGAACGGGGCTAAACGCATTGAACGTGTTTGCGTAAGGCGCAAGGGTGTGGGCTTGGGGGCAGTGGGGGGCATGTATGCGTGTGTGTGTGTGCTGTCTCTTATACACATCTAGATGTGTATAAGAGACAGCATTCTTCCTGTGTGGGCGCCAGGCCCCTTCACA